TTACCTTTCACAGAGGCACTGAGTTTTATAAATATGAGCATGATAGTGTAGAATAATCATATCCAAGGACCAGTGGTGGGTTTCAAAAAACTTTGCAACCTCTTCTGTAGGTGTGGCCTGCTTTCCAGGTCCTCTTCTAACTGGTTCGGTAGATTTGACGAACCGGTTCTACCGAATAGGTGCGAACTGGTAGGAACCCACCTCTGGTTCTGATATACTAATTAAAAAAAAATTGAAACAACACACAATGAGGCATGGGCTAGACAAAACTTATGCCTTAATGTGAGTGATTTCATGTGATCTTTTGCTATTGCAGATTGATGAGATGAACATCTATGGAAATACTGCCCTTCATATAGCTTGTTATAATGGGCAGGATTCTGTGGCTAATGAGCTGATAGACTACGGAGCTAACGTCAATCAACCTAATAACAGTGGATTCACTCCCCTCCATTTTGCTGCTGCTTCAACTCACGGGGCCCTTTGTCTGGAACTACTTGTGAATAATGGGGCAGATGTAAACATTCAGGTAAAATTATAGGTTTCACATCTCTTCCTTTTGATTTCCATTTCTTACATCTTTCAACAGCAGATAAATGGAACGGAGATCAGGTAAGTGAAGGTTGTGTGTTACACCTACACATTTAAATGCTGAGCTTTGAGGCATGCCTGTTAAATACAGAGCACTTTTCTTTTTTGAACAGCATGGGAGGCTATTGAAGGAGAAATAAAATCATGATGATTGAATTTTTAACTTTCTAATTCAGACATATTCTTTCTGTGCAAAAAATTGCTAGGAATGGATAACTGTTACATTAAAGTCGCTCTGGACAGCAAGATGGGCAACATAAATTTAATAGGCGAATAATAAATAGATATGAATTTACATGGAGAACAAAGAAAAATGAGGCAGTGTCCTTCACACGGTTCAGAGGTGAAGTATTGAAACCAAGGGCTGTTCAGCTTCTCTTAAATACTGCCATCATTAAGCATATTGCCCATTGTAGGTATTCTATATATCACAAATGGGATCTTTCTCGCTCCATCCCTTAGCAGGATTACTTCTAACTACAATACTGTAGCCTGAAAATGGAGGCATATGTTTCTTCTCCCCATCTTTTCTTGCAATATTACTTCGAAGGTTGACAACCATTCCTGAATCTTTTTGTTTTATAATATCACTAGATAATTTAGAGTTGGGGACAGGGGTGGGATCCTACCGGTTTAACAAGCAGTTTGCTGTGTGCACGGGTGCGTGCAGTTTACAGAAAACTCACTTTCCGCATTACTGCTGGCGAGGAAAAGAGCTGAGGTACGGCAATCCACTCTATCGCGCCAGTCAGCTGGGATCTGGAAAAGGAAATATAGGTGAGTATAACACAGGAGCGGGCAGGCCCTCTTCAAAGTTGGNGGGGGCAATATGCTGACTCTGTAAACCACTTAGAGAGGGCTGAAAGCCCTATGAAGGGGTATATAAGTCTAACTGCTATTGCTATTGCTATTGCTGATTGCTGACTGCTAGCAGTTCGGCAGGTTGAATCTCACGGGCTCAAGTTTGACCCAGATTTTTGGGGAGCAATATGCTGATTCTATAAACTGTTGAGACAGGGCTGTAAAGCACTCTGAAGCAGTATATAAGTCTAAGTGCTATTGCTATATTAATATGGCATAGTTGTTGAGAGTAACAGCCACAAATTTAATTCTCCAACTTCCTTTGTCCCTTAGACTTGATATAATAATAAAAATATACCATATGGAGGTACCACTGAAGCATGTGATGTACAACAGACCATATCCACTTATAATAAAATGAGGATAATTGCTCCTATGTGATTGGAGAAATTTTCTTCATTATCTCCCTTAATTTATTACATAAATAATCTGTTTCAACATTGACAGCTTTAACCTAGATAACTATATTATTATTTTTTCTTTTCCTTCTTTTTCTGTTTTTCTTTTTATACCACCAAGTAACATATGTCCAAGTTTGAATGAATCTAAGCAAAGATAAGATTTTTACAATATCCAACATTTTTGTGCAAATCTAAAAGCCTGGGAAAGATGCAATTTCTTGAAAAAATGCAATCTTTTTCTTTTTTTTTTTAAAGAAAAGTATTGTTATTTTTATTTACAGTTTTCCTACTTGGAGGAGCTCAAAACAGTTCGCAACAGAACAATAAGATAACATTAAATAAAGCCATCAAAGATCAAACCGAGATACCTTAAAACAATAACAATTAAGGTTCTTTTTTATTTTAAAATGCAGTTAGGCCCTGGGATTATCCTATAAATGCTAGAGCAAAAATTCCAATGCTGTCTTAAATACTGCATAAAGAAGACTACATGGGAACCAGCCATATTTCCTTTGGAACAAAGTTCATACAGTTGGAATAGAGTGGAAATGCAGTACAATATCTGTCTCTCTTTAAGTGACAGCATCTTTTCCCAGGATTGTGCTTTAAAAAGTCAAAAGTTTATATTCTTCATACTATAAAGTATGTTTTTAGAACTGGGTCCATAGTTTTGCAAGTTTGTATTAACTCCCCCGCTTAAATCCAAATCAAAATAATCTCATTGAGCTTCTTCCAGGCCTGCTTTAAATGAATGGTCACATTTCCACTGTTTCGTTTGTTGGATAATAGCTCTCCTAACCTCAGAGTTTGATATCAATATCATAAGAATAAGTTCAGGAGCACACACCCTTTTGGAGGGCATAACTTTTTTTTTTTTTTTTTTGCTTTCTTCATTAAATTGAATGATTAAATTTTGTAGCCACAGGAGGTGAATAATTAAGTTGAAATTATTATTTTTTGTATGTTTTATGTAGTCATGTGATATTTAGACGTTTTGTTGTGTAGTACAATTCTTCTTGAAGAAATGCATTACATTCTATTTGAAATATTAAGGACCATTTTATCCTTACTAGAACCTCTTTTCCTTTCACATAAACCTGTATGGCATAGTTAGTATTTTATAGTTATAATAGTCAGATTATATTTGGTTAATTAATAAAAAAACCCTGTGTTGCAAATCTCTAGCTAAGTCAACACGCAATGTTCTCTTCTAGTATGCTAAAAAGAGAAAGAAGTCAACACTTTTTTTTTTCCTTTTCCTCTTCTACCCCATACTCTCACCTCTTCCCTTTTCCCTCCTCAGTTTCCCATTATTTGTATTTTATGTTCTGATCAGTGGTGGGTTTCAAAAATTGTTCGAACCTACTCTGTGGGTGTGGCCTCCTTTGTGGGTGTGGCTTGCCGGCCATGTGACTGGTTGG